AGCGTCACCCTGTAACCATGGCAACCGTAACGCTGCCACCTGGAACAACAGAACGTAGCTGTCAAACAAAACCCAAACAGGGAAGTACCGCTGTGTAATCCATTTATTTCAACAAAGTAACTGTATTCTAAATACCACCTTTTTAAACAGTACTCATACAGTTACTCATATTTTGTATTTTAAATACGTAACGGCGGTACATGTATTCCGTTACTCCCCAACACTGTTAATAACAGTGTTAAGGGCTTGAATGTAACAGACGTCTGTTTTCACATAAATGTTCAGCACTCCAACTTTGAATTACATTTGCTCTCTATAGAGAATGAACCCAGTTATTTATGGTGCGGATCATCACAGTGTAAAACTAAGGCAGGAATATCAGTCTATGCAGGAATCATAAGCCATTTTGATGCCATTTCATGGGCTTTGCTGCAAATGAAAGTGACAATAAGTGCACTGGAGAGGCAACAAAAAGGCCCCCGTCAAGAAAGGGAACAGTTCCCCTTTCTTAAATATTGCAGATTTGTTGACTGCACATCCATGATGAAAATCTCCCATTCCAAAGGTGCACAGGCACCTGTCTGCAGCATCCAAATGTGCAGGTTTGACGTGTCACATGATCATAGATGCGCTTTTGCATGCCCTGGTTGTAACAAGTGGTTATTTGACTTACTGTTGCCTTCCTATCAGCTGGAAGCAGTCTGGCCATTCTCCTCTGACCTCAACGAGGCATTTTTATCCAGAGAATATTTTCTTTTTTATGGGCCATTCTCTGTAAACCCTAGATATGACTATGCAGGAAAATCCTAGTAGATCAGCAGTTTCTGAGATACTCAGACACCCGCCCTGTCCAGCACCGACAACCACGCCACATTCAAAGTCAGTTAAATCACATTTCTTTCCCAGTCTGCTGCTCAGTTTAAACTTCACAGGTCGTCTTGGCCTAAACAAATTGAGTTGCTGCCATGCGATCACTTGATTACATATTTGTATGGGTTCACCTGATAAAGTGTCCGGCGAGTGCATACAGCTTGCACCTTTTTCATTAATTATTGCACCTTTCAAAATAAATGAGTAAGAAAAAGTATGTCAGACTTCAGCAATTACACTATTTCATTTGGGATGCTGTATTGCTGTATAAAGTATTCAAATTTTAGTATCTCACTGCCTTTGTGTAATTAAAAACACAAGACGCTGTGAAAGAATACCAGTTGAATGTATTTGAGTTGTTAAAATAAGAACTTTATGCGTAACATGTGTGGTGTAATCAACTCATTTAAATCCTGAAGACTTTTCACTTTTAGTTTGATCAACTGTTGGAAGTTTGCGTGCCAAATATGGCAGCATCTTCAAACCCAAGACGCACAGTCGCATTCTCTCTTCAACAAATGCGCACGTCCACCGGCACAAGCTTGACGCGGTGTTTCTGTTTGCGACCCGGTCCTGAACCACTTCATTAAATCATCAGTGGTGCGAGATGTGCTCAAAGCTGTGCTCGTATCAACAGCTGTTACTGAAGGCGACAGGGGCTGTGTGCAGAGTACATTTTTACGAGTCACCACACCAACAAACAAGGTCATGTTCTGTTTTTTTGTTTGTTTCTTTCTTTCTTTCTTTGTTTTCCACTTTTTTTTCTTTCCTGAATGTGATTCAGAGGCTTTCTTAATCAGAAGCTCTGAGCACTGAAGTACTGAAATCCTTGTCATGTGGTTTGGAGGGGGAACAAAAAGAGAAGTTGCTGCTGTGTTTTCCCACTGTGGTTTAACTCCTGATATTTGTGAAGTAATTACTCAGTGTGACTTACAAATTCTTCCCATG